TTCAGAAGGCAAGTACTCTGTGTGCATCAAGAGGCCACCATCATTCTGTCACACAGTGCCAATCCCTTTGCTGCCACCTTCCAGAGGTCCACAGTACTGTCCACTGCACAGCAGTGCCAGGCTGACAAGCTACCCTAAGCCAGATTAGCATCAGCTTGGGAAAGGTCTGCAAGCATGACCTGCATCTGTACTCGTTTCAATTTTAAACAGTGCATGGCCATAAAAATCTTACCTTTTACCTTTGTAAAAAAAAAAAAAAGTGAACTGATACTCGTGGCTCACACCTTTAATCTTAGCTACTCAAGAGGCTGAGATCTGAGGATTGCGGTTCAAAGCCAGCCTGGGCAGGAGAGTCTGTGAAACTCTTATCTCCAATAAACCACCAGAAAACCAGAAGTGGTGCTGTGGCTGCAGTGGTAGAGGACTCACCTTGAGCTGAAGGACAGCAACCAGGTCCAGAGTTCAAGCACCACGACTAACACACACACACACACACACACACACACACACACACACACACACAGCAGTACTGGGGCTTGGACTCAGAGCCTGGGCACTTTTGTATAGTTTAGTTTTTTGTTTGTTTGTTTTTTACTTAAGGCCGGCACTCTACCACAGTTCCATTTCCAGTTTTTTAGTGGTTAATTGGCAATAAGAGTCTCAGGCACTTTTCTGCCTGGGCTGGCTTTGACCTATTATCCTCAATCTCAGCTTCATGAGTAGCTAGGATTATAGGTGTGAATCACAGGTGCCAGGATAGCTTTGTAACTTTTATTGTTTCAAGTTCCAGCTGATAGCCATGTTTCCCACAAAATTACCTCTCTTAAGCTCCATCTCTCATAAGCTGTCTTAGTGCCTGGCCAGCCAGTACCCTATCCCATAATTGGACCTAAGGTTACTTCTACCACTGAGTGTCTAGGTGCCCCATGATTAGTCTCCTCCTGAGCCTGATGATACCATTCCTGTGGTATATTTAACATGCATGTTACATGTGTTGGCAAAATCCACTTTGCCTTTCTTTCTTCCAAGTAGATGGAAATCCATCTTTTCTGTCTGCCCTGAGCCAAACACATTATTCCTCCTGTTGAATTATGACTTGAGTGGTTCAAGGCCATTAGAGACATTAGAAGGTAGCAAGTCACCAGCCAGGGCAGATTCCAGGTAGTTCTGTACAGTCCCAGCTCTGCACTAATTGGTGCTTTGTGTGCAAAAGAATGGAATTGGATGGTTGTCAGAAGAGAGTTTAGATGCACAAGATGTGACTTAGAGACAGTTTTCACTCACACACACAACACACACACACACACACACACACACACACACACACACACTGTTTCTGCTGCCCAACCACCTTTATGAGTTGTTGCAAACAGAGATACCTAATAGACCACCCAGATGCTAGCCCCCTGCTGACGCTTCTGGGTTACCTCTATTCCCTCCCCTCAGGGAGGGAATATGGCTCATGTGAAATCAGGAAGGGAAGAACTGGTCTCAAACCAGAGCTTGCTTTCAAAACAGACTTCAAATAATTTAGTCCTGTAATTTGTTACAGTGTTTTGAGAGTGTTTCAAAAAACCATTTTCAGTTAACTTGTAAAATGATATAAAATTTAAAATGTAAATGATAAAATGAATAATCACTTTAAAGAATAGTTAAATTGCCAGGGTACCAGTGCCTCATGTTTGTAATCCTGCCTACTCAGGAGGCTTAGGACCTGAAGATCTTGGTTCAAAGCCAGCCTGGACAGGAAAGTCCATGAGACTTTTATCTCTAATCAATCACCAAAAAGCTGAAGTGGATCAAGTGATAGAATACTAGCCTTGAACACAAAAACTCAGGGAAGCACCCAGGCCCTGAGTTCAAGCCCCAGGACCAGCACAAGTAAAAAAGAAGGCAAAGATGAAGACAAAGTCCCTGTTTTCATTGTATTGGATGTTGGTACAATTTGGGGAGGGGAAGGGAAAAAAAATGTTTAAATAGGGATACAGGTTGACCCATTGCAACAATGAGCTGTACAAGACGCTATGTCGAAAAACAAACTTTATAATTTAGGCAGGGGTAGGGGTGTGGAGGGTGTAGCTGAGGAGGTGGGAGGGAAGGGCTGGCAGGGGAAAAACAAAGGAGGAGGCAACAATGCTGGATAAGAAATGTACTCATTACTTTGCTTATGTAAGTGTAACCCCTTTATAGAAAATTATGCTTAATACATAAATCTTCAGACTCTTCCATGAATATCTGTGTTATTCATAGGAATAAGCTAATTCTCTATACCACTTCTCTGACCTTCCTTTCGATTTCATGTACCCTACCCAACCCATGTTGTCTGCATAGACTGGAAAGCAAGATGGCTACAGAGTTGTCATCAGCCATCTAGCCTCTACTATGGGCATCTCAGCTGCTCTATTGAGGTTTTTTACATATAAATAGTGACTATTGCTGTCTCTCTCCCTTCCTTTTTTCCTCCTTCCCTGTTTCTCTCCCTCTCCCCCTCTTCTTTCCTCCTTCCCTCCCTCATCCTCCTTCTTCTTTCTCTGTCCCTGTCTCTGTCTGTCTGTCTGTCTCTCTCCTCTGTCTGTCTGTCTGTCTGTCTGTCTCTCTCTCTCTCTCTCTCTCTCTCTCTCTCTCACACACACACACACACACACACACACACCTCCTTTCTTTTTGCATTGAAAGACAGGATGCTGGGATATAAGCCACTGTGGCCATCCACCAAAAGCCATCACTACCTCCAAGAAGCCTCTTGTGCAGGTCAGCACCCCTAAATCTGCTGGCTCCTTCTTGTCTTTTCCATAGTATGAGCATAACCAGTGACAGCTTCCCCTTTGAAACATTCTCTCCCTGAACTACATGTAGGACCTTCTGTTTCTCCAGAGGCCATCTGAGCCTCTGTCAAGCCCTTGTGTCAGTACATAGCATGTATTAGGCCTCAGGAAGCCTCCCTCCTCCCTCCTCACTCTGTCCCAGCAAACTGCATCCACCTACCCTGGCATCAGAGGACTCAGGTTCTATTTTCTCTTCTTTAGGCTCTCTGTCCTTCATTTCTTGATGTCCAATGTCTTAGAAACCATGGAATCAATTATATGTCTTGTGAGATATTTCAGTGGGCAGGTAAACCTAGACCCTGTTACTCATGGTGGCTGGAATCATAAAAATGGGAAGACAAGTTCAATGAGCTTGTCTATATCACACACATGCATACACAGGATTGCTCACCTAAGAGCCAAGGGCTCTCCATGAGGCTGCCTGGCTGCCTGACATTGCTGTGTGTCTGATGCTCATATCTGTCTGTCCAGTTAGTCCTCTCCCATATCCTCTTGGTTAATATCCCCAGCCATAGTCATCTTCAGTGCCCAGATGTCTATAGGCATGACATGCTCAGTGTGCCCAATGCCAAACTCCTTACCTTCCCAGATCAAGGAGTACCATTTCTTCTGCCTGGTCAAATTATAAGGCAAGAAACTTGATCATTCCCTCCTCTTGCCCTTCAGGCTTTGAATACTAGATCAGATCTATAGTTACACCTGGCTTTCCTTCCCTACCTACATCTCTGGTTTCCTTTCCTGTGTCATATAAGGCCACTGCCATTGGATTTCAGGCCCATTCTAATCAAAGTAAATCTCTTCTCAGAATCTTTACCTTATAAATATCTGCCTTCTCCTTCTACCAAATAAGGTCACATTCTCAGGTGCTAGGAGTTGGACTTAGACTTGTCTCTTGAGAAGGATATAAATCAGCTCATGGTGCCTCCTAGTATCTCTAAACAAGACGATAGGATAGCTTTCTCAGGAAGAATCAGCAGGAAGAGCAAGCTGTGTGGTAAGAAGGATAATGTTGGCTCTCCTGGGCTCTCTAAGGATTCCTCATGCAGGAATTTCCTTGGCAGGCCTATCACACCTTTGTCTCAGAAGACTTAGCACACCCCTGAATGAAGGCATCACCTCAAAACAAACCTTTCTTCGAGTCATGTGATGCATAAGGAGTCCTTGAAGCCTTGAGGAACTCAGCATGACTTTGGGTGGGAGGTGCTATGCTTTGTAAACAATTAGTACCTTGTAGCCTTTCACTGTCCACTAACTGCCACCTCCTAGGAAAATCCTGGGAATTCTGTGTCTAAGTAAGCTCATGTTTTATAATATGAAAAAATTGTCTAGGTGGCTCAGTGGTAGAGTGCTTGCCTTGCATGCCTGAGGCCCTGGGTTCGATTCCTCAGCACCACATAAGCAAAAAGAAAAAAAAGCCAGATGTGGTGCTGTGGCTCAAGTGGTAGAGTGCTAGCCTTGAGCTGAAGAGATGAGGGACAGTGCCCAGGCCCAGAGTTCAGGCCCCACGACGACCCTCCCCCAAAAAATTGTCTAGATTTTATTAACAGACACAAGAATAATTAATTCTGTTTCTAAAGATAAAAGTCAGGCCTCCCTACATGGCTTTTTTCATGTTGATCATATATAATACTCTAGAGAAATTATCTCTTTTTTATTTTTATTATATATATATATTTATTGTAAAGATACTGTACAGAGGGGTAACAGTTATATGAGCAAGGTAATGAGTCAGTTTCTGATTGAGCATTGTTTTCCTCCTTTGTTTTCCCCCTACCATCCCTTTACTCTTATCTCTCTTTAACCAGTAGGGCTTGAACTCAGGGCCTGGACCCTATCCTTAGCTTTATCATTCAAGGCTGGTACCCTACTACATGAGCCACAGCTCCACTTCTGGCTTTTTTTCTTTTAGTGGTTTGTTGGAGATAAGAGTAGCTAGGTGTGAGACACCAGTGCCCGGCTGAAGAAATTCCTGGAAGCAATCAGGGAAAGGTGTCCTGGGTTATCAAGCTCCCTCCAGAATGAAACAACATTATTAACACCCAGACAAGCAGAGCCTGAGGCTTTGGGAGGGCCGAGGGACAGGCAACCGAGGGACAGCACAGCCTGACCCTGTTTTTCCTTCCCAGGGACAGAACCACCCTGCCCTCATCCTCATCTCTTCTTGTTTGTTTTCAGGATTCCTCTTCAACTGGACTCATCCCCACAGTCATTCCTCGATCTACTGCAGTGGCTGGAGACCCGGTCACATCTCCCAAAGTCCAGCTGCCCCTCAATGTGTAAGCTGCTCCGTGTGTGTCTGTGTGTGTGTGTGTGTGTGTATGTGTGTGTCTGTGTCTGTGTCTGTGTGTGTCTGTGTGTCTGTGTGTCTGCGTGTCTGTGTGTCTGTGTGTCAGAGTCCCATATCTTCTGTACTGTCTGCATATTAGGACTTACATATGTGGTTTCTGTTGGCTTTTTTTAATTGGCTTTTTAAAAATCTGGTCAATGTACCTAAATGCCTCTCGTGATGTTGCCCAAAAAACAGTAGAACAAACAAAAGCCTAGCAAGGCATTTTAATGTCATCATCTCTAAAACAGTTACGGTAAATGAGAGTTCAAAATCTTTTACAATGCAGGCACTGGTCCATCAGAAAAGGAGCCACTTGTAGCATGAAATGTTGACTGCCACAGAGGCCCTTGAAGTCTGGGCTGCCCCGAGGAAGGACCAGATTGGCTAGAGCAATGAGAAGCCTTTGGATAGGGGTAGCAGCTTGGTTGCTGATGGTTCCGAAGTAGTGAGTATTTACCTATCCTAAGCACTATCCCAGGGCAGGCCAGCTGCATACCAGCCCCAAATATAACCACATGAATCACTGCTAGGAAGTGAACACTTATCTTGTTTAGGAAATCTGCTCTACTAAATTACAGCTCTTAAGAAATGTGCAGTTTAAAAATTTCCCATTTCAATAGCATTCTGAAGAATGAGTTGGCCTTCTGCTCTTTCATTTGGCTGATGAGTTCAGTTTCTTAAAAGGATGCTTTAAGGTGGAGAGGGTAAATTTGGCAAATAAAGGATAAGAAAGTTTCATCCACTAGGGCAGGTCTGAGGAACACCTAGATCATATGTAGTTGCAGAACCTATATTTTTTTAAGCAGAAAACAAAATAAAATCTGCCTTTGGAAAAATCAACTTTCTAAGTTTAGAAGGCTCGCTAGAAGCAACTCAGCTATGCTGGTACCCTCTCACCTAGCTCCACAGACCAGTCAAAAGTTAGCATTTGTTTCAGATAGGAAAATTCTACACACCTCCTTTTATTTGGCCACGCTTCATTGGTTAACCAACTTAATAAAAGAAATTTGATGATTTTCTGGTTTTTCACTAGTTTCCTGTGGGGAACACAGGAGCTACTTTCTCGATATCTTTAAGTGAAAATTCAAATACCAGACAGAGGGTCCAATTAGCTCTGACACATTTGTAGATACAGACATCCTTAGATTCAACCCATAGATGGAACACATTTGGGAAAAATGCTAGAAATTGCCTAAAGATAAACTTAAATGTATCACACACTCAGCACTATGTCTAATTCACATGTGTCCAGTGATATGCAATATGCAGCCATTGTATCAGGGGTAAGCAGTCACAGAAGGATATATGCTTATGTGAAGTTACTGTGCAATTACTGTATCTTTCTAAACAAGAGACTGCCATGTGTGGATTCTGGTATCTTGGGGGTTTTGGAGCCAGTCCCCTTCAGATACCAAGTAATGGCTGTCCTGTCCTAGATATGAGCTCACCATACTCCTGGACGGCTTTTGTGGCTTCATTCCAAGCCAGAGTAGGATGGAGTGATAGGCTGGCTCTCTTAAAACAAAACAAAACTGGTGCAGAACATCATCCTTGAAGAAGAAGACCTACACCCATAAGAATGTCCTGATGTAATTCCCCCAAAGTGAGGCGGGATACAGGACAGGGTAACAAGACTATGTTTATTATGGGGTCCCTACAACTACTTGAATACCTGCACACAGGCTCTGAGCAACTACCTGTCCCCTTCCTGGGTATGAAGGGCTCTAGGTTTTACTAGTCAGGTCAGCCACCAGAGAAAGTTTCTCTGTCTGATACCCAAAAGTTGTGAATACTCTGAATATATTCTGAAGTCCTCAACATATCTTTAAGGACTTTGGCTTTAAGCCCTTCTTCTGTGGGGTCAAGGTCTCTGGGACCCTCAACACTTCCTACTTCACTCCCATGGTTTGGCTGTCTCTATTAAACTTGAGGTTTTGATCATGATTCATCTGTGTGGCAGGGAGGGAGACTTACATATCATGTGATGGTTTCTTTCTTATTGCCCATGGTTAAGGAAGGGGTGAGTCTTCAGGTGGTACAGTGGTGGTCTGAGCTGCAGACAGATCATGATGGGCACAGCGTGTTTAACATGCACATTCTATGGCTGTCTACCAAGCAGCAGGATTGTACCTGGAAATATACAAAGCAGCAATACGCACTTTAGTGTGTACCTTCCATGGCTATCTACCAAGCAGCAGATACATGCCTGGAAATGACACACCCACTGCAGCAATATATAGGGTCTACTTTGCAAAAATAACCACTAAACATCACATCTATATGATCTTCCTAGGGACCAATCAAATTGACCTCTTCGGTTTGTCAAGAAGTGAAGTAGCTTGTACACTCACTGATCCTCTGATTCCAAAAGTATAGTAGTTGCATGGGTACCATGGCCTGGGACGAGGGCATGATTGCTGCTTATCTAACTGTTCTTCCCAAAACAGCATCTGGGAATTATACTTAGAGCAGAACTTCAACATGAGATAAACTGTCTTTACAAAACAAGCGTGACAACTGCAGCAAGGTGTCTTCCAGTGATGGCTGTGGGGCTCCAGATGAGAGCCCAGTCAAGTCCAGTATGAAGTAATAGAACAACTCCATGATCCTCCACCACAATCCCTATATGGCTTAAAACTTGAGTATTGGCAATGACAAAGCCTGGTCTTCTTTTGGTTGGTGGCAGACTGTTGTCCTTTGCCCATCTTCTAGTGTACATTAAAGATGTCCATGACATGTAGAAATGAACTGAGCTTATATTTCAGTGCATAAAGTCACTGCTCCTCTGAAGAGACCAAACACTGCCCCCAGACTATCCCTTTGAACTCCTAGTTTGCTAAAAATCTCTAACTCTGGCTTGGTTGCCATTCATGATTCTGAGGGTATTAGTGGCCCACGCTGGAGGCCATGCTCATGTCAGAACTGAGTTGTTCAGAGCATCTTAAGATTGATGAAGCTGAGTGCTGGTGGCTCATGTCTACAACCTAAGCTACTCAGGAGGCTGAGATCTGAGGATTGGGGTACAAAGCCAGCCCGGGCAAGTAAAGTCCATGAGACTCTTAACTCCAATTAACCACCAGAAAAAAGGAAGTGGTGCTGTGGCTCAAGTGGTAGAGCAATTATCCTTGAGCTGAAGAGCTCAGGGATAGTGTCCAGGCCCAGAGTGCAAGCCCCACAACTGACAAAAAGAAAATATTGATGAAAACATGGTGAACAAGGCAACCTAGTATATGAGGGTTAGATTCTTTCCTCCTCTTCTTCATGGACATTTCAGTGACTTTTGGCCAGGAGTGAAAGATGAAAGAGCAGAGGAACCCCAGGTGGCTGAGCAGCACTACTTGGGCAGGGAAGAAAGTGGTAGAACCACCAAGATATATCCCCTCCTTAGAACCCCTGAGTTATGTGAGCACTGCTGACCATCAGGACGTGGAGGGGGAAGATCAGCAAACCAGGACTGACATGTCACTTTCCTGTGTAGAGTACACTGCCCTCCTCCCCCCAGGACCTGAAGGCCTGCCTGAATACCAGGGACAGCCCTTGGCTATCAGTTTCTTATTCCTGAGACTGAACCCCAGCTTTCTGAGGGAAAAGGAAACTTCCACAGTCACAGAGGTACAGTTAATTACCTGTTGGGAAAGCCACGTTTCCTACTGTGGATACCCCGGCCCCCAGATGCTACCTGGAAGCGTACTCCAAGGAATTAAGCTTGTAGCTCAGAGAAAAGAAACCTTGGGGAACAGCATGCAGCAATGCTGGGTGGAGGCCAAGTCCCTAAATCCCCGGTCCCTGTTGAGGTATACTCTCTGCAATGAGAGGAGGCCATGTCTAAAGCTAACCCTTTTCGCATGGCTGTGCTGATATTTGTCTCAATGGCCAAGGGCCACCAAACTACCCTCAAGGATAATGTGGTTCTCTCCTCCCATTCTGGCATGCTGAGAAAGGGCTAGTGATCAAGTCATGTTATCAAAGACTCTTCATAAAGCCAACTCTAAACTGGAAGTGTTTTTGCCTCAATTACCTGTTCACAAAGGTACCTTTTCTAATTGTCACCTAGTTTTGTGCCAGTTAGAGCACAATGAGCAGCCCAGCTATCTTGATGCATTGAGGAGATTGCCTCAGGCACTTGTTAAGGCCTATGTTGAGATTTCAAGGCCTTCTGAAGCAAGTGGAGAATAGAAACCAGGAGGATAGAGACCAAACCAACTATGGAGCACTCAGCTTTCTCTATGCCAGACTGTGGGTTCATGTGCCCTGTGAGAAACAGCAGGGCATACTGAGCCTCACAGTTGTCAAGGGACACTCACATGTACAGGCCTGGCAGAGCAAGCAGGGGAAGGCATCAGTGGGAAGGTAGATAAAAGAGGATGATGCTATGGATTGTCACCAGACCCTGGAAGTAAATAGTATAGAAGGAGGGCTGCTGAGACCCCAGGGGGCTAGTGCTGGCAGATGGAGAGGGATTGGGGTCATTCTCTGAATACTGATCAGTTTTGTGAAAAAGGAGGTGGCCATCTTCAGACACCTGCTAAATGAGTTGCTACCCAGAGAAAGGCTAGGCCCAGTAGTGTCAGAAGCTAGGAAGACCATCCATACACACCTGGGGACAGCAGCAGTAAACAACATCAATTAGCATCTCCATTCTTAAGCTGGGAATTCTCATTCCACATTCAAAAAGAAAAAGGGATGGTAGGGGAAAAACAAAGAAGGAGGCAACAATGCTGGATAAGAAATGTACTCATTACCTTGCTCATGTAACCATAACCCCTCTGTACAGTATTTTCACAATAAATAACTTAATTTTTTAAAAAGTGTGAGCAGAAGTGATACTCAGTCATTTGATGCGTTTGACAGGTGTGTGGTCCTGAAGTAGCCATAAAATAACTGAAGGTTAATTACCTTCTGGGAATGACTTGGCTATCCTTTAGCAGTATTTTAGAATATGTACATAATTTAATGGGGCAGTGACTTCGTGCTTACATCTCAGCATAAAAGCAGTAGTTCCATCTTTTCCTGCCAAACTAAAAATAGAGACTTTCTATATTAGGGCTTCGTGTCATTTTAAGACCTTTACACTCAGAAAAAGATTTTTCCGAAATTACATTTTTACTTTAAATGAGCACAGACATGGTTCTTGATGCAATAATGAAGGCAGAAAAATAGAAAACTAAAAGGCAAGTATAAGGACATCAGCTCTGCACCCACTTCCCTCATTTTGGTTGGCGCAGAAGCTGCTGAGAGATCCATAGTTTCGAGTTTCAAAAGATAGATTTGGATGTTCTGCTACATTAAGCCTCTTCACACGAGGCATCAAGCTTCTTAGCAGTTGAAAGTCTAAGGGATTTTGTTTATTAGATGCTCAGTGATACAGATAGCCCTCCGGTGCTAATGTTCCACAGTGAGAGATGTATGCTGTACAGGTGCATGGCACCACTTTCTTAAAACATGGTCACCAGCTGACCTTCCCTAAAGCCTTATTTGCCAGGCTACAGTACAGAGCTGTGCCCCAACCACAAGGCCTCAGATGGGGTGGGGAAAAGGAAAATGCGTAGGGATGCAATGTCTACTGTATGGCAGACACACAGGCTCACTTAAGCTCTACATGAGTCCTGACATTTCACAGTCAGGGAAACTGAGACAAGAAAAGATTTGAAAATCTACCCATGTTCCTGTGTGTTTAGAGGCAGGGCCAGCTCTGTGGTCCAGAAGTTATCAGCCTGCCCAGGGGTGTGGCTAGGTGCCATGAAAGGCTGACAGCCCTACTAAGGAATGGCCTGAGGTGAGGCTGGGCTCTGGAGCAGGATAAGTAAGGTGCCTGCCCACTTGCTCTGAGTGCAGGCTTGCATAGCCCACGGTGAAGAGGTGTCATGCTGATGGTACCAAGGAATTGGTTGTCTTGGCCTTTCTATCTTTATTTCAAATTTTCTCTGTCTGATGAACATTCTGGTCTCAATACTCCATATTTGCCTACTAGGTGTACATTGTTGGATGTGATGAATCCTCATTTCATGTCAAAAATTCTTCTCTGACCAGTGCCAGTGGCTCATACTTGTAATATTGGCTGGCTCACACTTGTAATATTGGCTACCCAGGAGGCTGAGATCTGAGAATCGCAATTGCAAGTCAGCCCAGGCAGGAAAGCCTGTGAGACTATTTCCAGTTAATTACCAAAAAAGCCAAAAGTGGAAATATGTCTCAAGTGGTAGAGTGCCCCACCTTAAGCAAAAAAGCTGTAGGACAGAATTGAGAACCTGAATTCAAACCTTAGTACCTGGCGCGCATGCGCACGTGCTCACACACACACACACACACACACACACACACACACACACACACACACACACATCCTTTTCTTTTTCAGGTGCCCTATAGTGGATTTCTGTACATCACAACTATGTATGTGGCTCTTGCCCATGAGATGAAGAAAAGTGGGACAGAGCAGATAATATACATTTACACACACACACACACACACACACACACACACACTTGTTTTTCAATAAATAGTTATTGAGAGTCTACCACGTGCCTGGACTGAGGAGACAGCATTGAACTGTCAGTTAAATTCACTTCCTGGAGCATTCAATGTGTGGGGGAAAGCAAGCAAGCAATAGATTGCCGGATATCAGTGTGAGGATACCAGGGCAGGCGTCTGGTACACTCAGGTAATAGCTTGGAGCAATGCCTCACTGAGCAGGGCTCACTGGTCCTTTTTCTCTAGGCCCTTTTGAGCAGATGCCTCTGCACCCCATTTAGCCTCTTTTAGAAGATAAACATGGACACAGGTCAGCAGTGGCTACCTCATGCTGCATGCTTGCTGGAAGTCCTCTGTCCAAGAGAACTCAGCTGCTCACAGGAGCAGGTCAAAAAGGCTAGGGAATGAGAGAGGAAAAGGAGAGAAGTTAAACTCCCTGGACCCTCCTAAAAAGACTGTGCCACCTTGAGATTGGTGTGTGTGGAAGGAATCATTTGGAAAAAAATATTATAAAGTAGTGGTCTAGTAAAACCCGCTGAGAGCTCTGGAAGTCATTGGCCTCACTGCAGGTAGATTTGGTGGCATTCATTTACCTTATATTTGTTCTTTTATGTGACCTGTGACCTAAGGCTGCACAACATAAGAACTGGCCTAATAGGATGCCCACAGGATGCTGATCTAAGACAACAGATTATGCTCCATGCAGGGTGACTCCCAGCCAGTGGCAAGCCAGGGTGAGGGGACTTGGCCTTGATGCAACTCCAGGCCCAGAAGAGCATAGGCTGTGAGACCCCAGCTCAGTTTTGCATCAGAAAGTTGGTCTCCAAGTCCTGTTGAACAGGCCAAGTATCTTAGGCCTTACTCCCTAGAGGTGGCTGGTATGTCCGCCTACACCTACCACAGGGCTGCTTCCTTCATAGGCAGTTTGCTCCAGGTAGGAACACTTAGTTACCTAATGAGGTTAGAGTGGCATCATCCCCCAGTGGCATTCTGCTCTGGCCTGAGTCAGAGACTGCTCTGACATTAGAAACAATGAGACAGACATAAGCAGGATTTATGTTTCTATTATATTTCTTTGAGCTCAAGTTCACAATGCCATGTATCATTTCTATCAGTTTCCATGATTCCAGGTGTTTCTGATCTTCCCTCTTGCTCTGCCTTGACCCCAGCTGTGTGGAAGCTACTCTTTTATCTGCTGGGCAGCCCAACACATATATAGCACAGTCACATATGGGCTTTGGGTGTTCAAATGCAGTCTTCATGTGACTTTGTGTCACTAGAAGTACCTCTGCAGTCATTCAAGAGAAGGGATGTACCCTGGTTCTCTTATCTGTCACCTGAGCGTGCACGGACTGTGCAAATCTATAGGCCATGAGAATGAGAAGGATCCTTTCTCGAGGGCTCTATTTTTTGGAAACCCAGATTGCATATGTTCTCAAGGAGCATAACAAGGAAACAATATGCAAACCACATTTCATCCTAGCTTATGTCCCAGGGTAGGGGGCACTGTAAACAAAGGCCCCAATCTCCCATTGAAAAAGAGCAGAAGAAGTCCTTGTGTATATATTATGAGGATGTAGGAAAGGAGTGGTGGATTTTATTTTAAAGCAAAGAAAGCTTTATTTATGAAAGGAGCTCTCTTTTTTGCTGGTTGTGGGGCTTGAACTCTAACCCTGGGCTCTATCCCCTAGCTCTTCAGCTCAAGGCTAGTACTCTATCACTTGAGCCACAACACCACTTCTGGCTTGTTCTGTTTATGTGGTACTGAGGAATTGAACCCAGGGCCTCATGCATGTGAGGCAAACACTCTACCACTGAGCCACCTTCCCAGCCTATGAAAGGAGCTCTTACTTATCTCTATACTACTCCTCAGAGCCTCTGTTCTTGCTTGAACTGACTGAGCTGGATTCCAGAAGGCCCTTGGGGAGTCCATGGGCTCCTCTATCCCGGAGACCTGTGGACACCTCTAAGAGTCTATGGTCCCTGAATAGAGTCAACACACCCACAAAGCAGTTGGTCCTACTGTGAGAACTGTGTCATGACTCTTTAGAATTCAGCTTTCATTTTCTATTAGCTGAAGGGCCCATCCACTTTCATGACTGAATCATGTGAGAAAACACAGTTATCTGCTGTAGTTCTGCTCATCAGTTCAACATAGAACAGAGTACGCAGCCTCCCAAGTCCTAGGAAGTTAGGATTGAGATGTGTTTTATGTCACCAGAGGAACTTGCCATAGCCAACTTTAAGGCATAATGTGTAAACTTAGGTTTTTTACCACCAAGTCTGTTTAGCCTAATTTGCAAGTAATTCTTAAAAGAAAAGTAGAAGTAAAATAATTAGTCACAGTACAAATATTTCTAGGAAGTATACAGCCAAGAATTCCATAATAAGGCCATCTTTTCTCTGAAAAGATTCGGCGTTTGATAAGTGACAAGTTTGATAAGTGAAGGCATGTGGAAAGCTCAACCCAGACTAATTTAGCACAAACTAGATTTCCCCAAGGCTTTCTCTTGCTCAGAGCACTGGACTATTGACATCATGAAGAACAGAAAAAAAAATTGTAGGGACCAAAGACCAAGCACCAGAATCCAGTTCTAAGGCCTCCTGCCAGGCCTTCCCTCCTCACACAGCTCAGCCCCGCATAGTTCCACCTGCTTTCCCAAGGGGCCCAATGTGGTGTTGTAGCCCCAGCAGACCCACAGGTACTGTCTTCCATCCTCTCCTCTGCTACTTGGGTAGGATTGAGTCAGGTAAGGGATGTGTGAGCTCTTTTGAAATTAGAGAGCCTTACAGACATTAGCTATTCTGTATAGATTGGCATACCCAAAGTTGAGCTGTGTGCCCTGTGCCCACGCTGCCATGTCCTGAAAAAGGTGTTTGCTGACCTGTGTCTTTTTCTCTTACCTATAGATACCTGGCTCTCTATGCTTACAAACCCCAGAAGAATGATGAGCTGGAGCTGCGCAAGGGTGAGATGTATCGGGTGCTGGAAAAGTGTCAGGACGGCTGGTTCAAGGGGGCATCACTGAGGACCGGGGTCTCTGGGGTCTTCCCAGGAAATTATGTGACTCCTGTCTCAAGGTGAGGACCCAGCAGCCTGGGCTCGGAGGACAAGGTCCCCTAATGCTGTGGGAGCCCTGAAGGCTATGTGTGGAATGAGTCCCTAGAAACACTCAATCCAGAGGCAGCAGGGTAACTGATCTCCCCTTGGTGAATGGTTAATCTGATGAGCTGAGTTCCTTGGCTTCCCTCAGTGGGCACTAACTACCCACAGACAGGGAACAGGGAGAGCTGGATTCAAAGTAGCAAGGGGTCATCAGAGAGCAAGGTCTCCAGCGTGTGTGTATTTCTGTGTGAGGATAGTATGTGGGCACATGTGTATAGTATGAATGTGCTCCTGTGTGAGTACATAGGTGAATAGTAAGTACAGCACATGTACATGTGTGCCCTATGTGTAATGTGTGTGCAGCAAATGTGGGGCAATGCATTGTGTGGTGTGAGTAAATGTGTATATGCAATGTTCACAGAAGGTGGATACTGTGTCCATGTATGTATAGGGTCACATGCATAGTATATATGCACATACACACCATACATAAATGTGTGTGTAAAGTATATTGCCACAATGATCTATGTATAGAACACACACATCTATTTCTCGACAAAGGAAAAATGATACATAGCTTAAAGTAACAGTTGTTGCTAAGTGGGCAGTTTAAAATTTGTTTTACAAATCTGTTGTATATCTTTTATGAAATACAAATGGTAATTTAAAAAATTCAGTGGAGAAACCAAGTGCAGTGGCTCACACCTGTAATCCTAGCTGCTTGGGAGGCAGAGATCAAGAGGATTGTGGTGGAAGGCCAGTATGAACAATCAATAAAAAGCTGGATATGATGAACCATGTCTGTCATCCCACCTACATAGAAATCATAAGCAGGAAGATTGTAATAGCCAGGTCAGTCACAAATACAATTCAAAAAATAATGAAAGCAAAGAGAGATGGAGATGTGGCTCAAGTGACAGAGCTCCTGCCCAGCAAACACAAGAACATGAGTTCAGTCAGCCCAGGGGTCCACCATCTGACTGCATTCCGGTCAAGGATGCCCAAGGCACAACTCTGTATAGAAGTTGATGGATGTGCAAATAACAAAAGATATGTCCTTTGGGTTTCTACTGTCTTTGGAGGAGGTCTGTGTAAAAAGTATTCAATAATAACTAGCCTTGTACCTATTGTCTGACTGATGTATACCTACTGTCTAAGTGGTTTCTGAAGGGGCATGGAAAGATATACGCTACTTGCTCTGTGGTTTTGGGTACCTGGACTTCACAGTAGATGTCCAGTAGAGGCCAGGGGAGGAGTCTTTCCTGAGGCCCAAGAGGTCTACAGGAACAAGGAAGTGGGTATAAGAGATGCGTCACTCAGGCCAATAAAGGAAGCCCCTCATTCTTTTTTTTAATATTTTTTATTGTAAGGATACTGTACAGAGGGGTTACATGAGTAAGGTGATAAGTATGTTTCCTATCAAGCATTGTTACCCCCTCCTTTGTTTTTCCCCTACTATCCCTTCCCTCCCCATCTCCCCAGCTCCTCCCTCTTCCACCCCCCCGCAAAGTTGTAAAGTTCGTTTTCAACATAGTGTCATGTACGTCTCATTGTTACAATGGGTCCTTACTTCAGCATTTTGTTATTTCCCTTCCCCTCCCCAAATTAGAAAAATGTATATATAAGATACAGGGCACCAGAATCAAATACAGTGACAGCAGCGCTTATACCATGGGGGAAGAACATACAAACTTTTTCTACTACTTTGGAAAGCAATATGGAGGTTCCTCAAAAGACTACACATAGAGCTCCCCTATGACACAGCAATCCCACTTTTGGGCATTTACCCAAACGATCACAAACAAGACCATACTAAAGCTACCAGCACAACTATGTTTAATACAGCATTATTCACCATAGCTAAGATATGGAACCAACCCAGATGTCCCTCAGTAGATGAATGGATCAAGAAAATGTGGTATGTTTCTGGATCTCTATTAAGAAAATTTTGGCCTGCACCAAGGAGACCTAGGGTTTCTCCTATTCCATCCTGTAATGTTTTCAGAGTGTCTGCCTTGACTCTGAGGTCTTCGATCCATTTGGAGTTGATTCTGGTGCAGGGTGATATAAAAAGATCTAGCTTTAGTTTTCTACAACTGATTAACCAATTTTGCCAGCACCATTTACTGAAGAGGCTGTTTTTCTTCCATTCTATTTTTTTAGCTTCCTTATCGAAGACTAGATGGCTATACGTCTTTAGGTCCATTTCTGCGTTTTTAATTCTGTTCCATTGGTCCTGAGGCCTGTTCCTGTGCCAGTACCAAGCTGTTTTGATTACTATGGCTTTGTAGTAGAGTTTGAAATTTGGTATTGATATTCCTCCAGCACTGTTCTTTCTGTTAAGGATCATTTTTGCTATTCTGGGTCTTTCATTGTTCCATATGAATTTTTGGATTGCCTCTTCTATTTCCTTGAAGAATGAGGTTGGAATATTTATAGGTATCTCATTGAATTTGTAGATAGCCTTGGGAAGTATTGACATTTTCATGATGTTGATCTTTCCAATCCAGGAGCATGGGAGTTTTTGCCATTTTCTAGGTTCTATTTTGATTTCCTTTTTCAGGTTTTTTAAGTTTTCATCATAGAGGTCCTTCACTTCTTTGGTTAAGTTAATATGTATGGGTCAAGCATAAAAGGTCAGATAAGTTGATGTTAGGGGAATGAACCCCAAGATAAGTATTCAAATTTTTTTTCTTTCATGCAATTGTTTCTAACATGATTATAAGATGATTTCTATGTTGCTTTGTATGTCCCTCCCTCACGGTATAGCCCCTGCTTTCATTGTATTTGATGTTGGTATGATTTGTGGAGGAGAAGGGCAAAAACAAACCATTTAAACAGGGATACAGTTGGACCCATTGCAACAATGAGATGTTCAAGTCGTTATGTTGAAAAATGAACTTTACAAGTTTGGTGGGGGGGGGAGGATCAGGTGGGAGGGAGGGGGGAGTATGAGAAGGGATGGGAAGGGGAAACAAAGAAGAGGCAACAATGCTTGATAAGAAATGTACTCGTTATCTTGCCCATGTAATTGTAACTTCTCTGTACGGTATTCTCACAATAAAAAAAAAGAGAGAGAGCGAAAAAAAGAAAATGTGATGTGTGTGTGTGTGTGTGTGTGTGTGTGTGTGTGTGTGTGTAACGGAATTCTATGCTTCCATTAGAAAGAATGGTACTGCCCCATTTGTTAGGAAATGGAAATACTTGGAAAAAAATGCATTAAGTGAAGTAAGCCAGACTCAAAGAAACGTAAGTCCCATGGTTTCCCTTATCTGCAATAACTAGTATACGTCTAGAATAATCTTACCAGACAAGCAGAAAAGGTCAAAGCTATGTACATATGATCATATAAGATGATGCTAAGTGAAATGAACCCCAAGATAGGGACACAAGAGGCTTTTTCTTTGTTGCTGTTATTTGTAATGTACTATGTGATTTTTGTTTCTTTTGTATGTTCTTCCCCATGGTAATAAACCTCTCATTCCTAACAGCAGCCTTCTGTTTAGAGTGGGAGCTCCCTACAAACTCCTTGAGGGAACTTGCCCAGTGCTTGCAGCCAGGGATTGCTCTTTAATGGAAAAAGCTCTAGTTAAGATTTTTTATGCTAACGTTCATAAGCTTTCTCTTTCATGGTCTTGTTCGTGAAGTCTTTGAAGTGCTTGAAAGAGGCTCCAGTTGGTTTGAGGCAGCTGACAGGGCTAAGGCGAGGTTGTCCTTTGCCTTTGGGTGTCTCCCCTTCTCTGCCCATGCAAAGGTGGGCCCATCTGTGCTAAGGATGCTTACATCTTGGTCTCGCTGCTTTTCCATCCATGCCCCTTACCCAGTGTAGACAAAGCCCCCATGGACTCCCTGGCTGAGGAAAACTGAGATATAGCCAGCATCTGGGCCATGCCCCTCATATACACTGAATTTGGAGTGCCTTTCTGCATCATCCTACTACCCAGATAACCCCAACATATTCTTAAAGAGCTTTGGGAATCTTTGTCCCATGGTCTCTTTCCCATACCACTGCTATTCATTATAGGTCACCTATGGGTATGCAGAGCCTGCCAGCCTCACACATAGCAACCACCTCCAGCTTTGCACCCTGGATACTTTGCACAACATCTTCAACTAATGCAAATTAAGTAAATCAGTGAAATGTGGTAGCTCTGATCTAAATTCTGCCCAAAAGATGGATTCCAGTTTTGCCAAGGACTTTGCCATGGGAAGTTTCTCTGCTTAATGAAACTGGAACTCTTTGGGTAACCTGGGCCACCTTACTTCACTCCAGCTTATGTGTCTTATAAGTTGCTCACTTTCTTCAAGCTTTTCTTTCCCCAACCAGTTACCTCTTCTGAAGAAGTTCAGAGCCAGGAGAAACTAGGAAATGATCCCTCCAGGTCTAACCCTGGCAACTGTTGTCCTTGAAATTCCCTGTACTGGTGACCCTGCTGTTATCCCCATTCTCTCAGACAGAGAATCATCAGGATCCCCTTTGGTCCCTATCTCAGAAGCCCAGTTTCCCATCAGGGTCCATAGCTCACCATGGAACAGCAAAGCTGAGGGCAGATGAAGTTTACTTACAGAAGTGGGAGGTTGTCTGATCTCCATAACTCTGCCTCTAGGCAGAGTTTCTTTGATACCCTCAGACTTTCTCTGATACTCTCTGTGCTTTAGGAAAATTGCCAAAACCACCCATCAGAAATACAAAAACCTTATAGGACACATGTCAAAGAGATAAGTGAAGGCCCAGGCCTGTGTGCAGACCCAGAGTCACCATCTACCCTAGTCCTTCAGAACTGCCCTGGGATGCGGGTAGGCTGAGAGTCTAGATTACTTAGCCACTAGCTGGGTCATCAGAGAGGGCACTCGGAGATTTTTTGAAAATAAAGAAAGTGGGGACCCAGGGTACATGGTTGTTGAAAATGAGAGTGTGCAGGTTTGGCTGGAGGGCACTTTGGCCAAACTGTTTCCACAGGTTCCATGGAGCCATGCTTACCACTATCTGAAGATTTGCCTGCATCTGCAATCTTCCACATTGTCAATGTGGCTTTGCAAATAGAACTTGCAAATACCATTGATTAGGTATATAAAGACCAAATGTAAGATAGCCAAGATGATTTGCAGACACATGGTTTGGATGAGCCTGTTGATGGGAGCAAATTTTAGGATATCTCTGAGGCTGAAGGACACACCAAAGAAACTATTCTGTGCCTCCATGGTAGTGACTCCTTTCCTAAGAGGCACGTCACCCCCACAACTACCACACAGAACCCTTTCTGAGTGCTCTAGTACCCTAAAGGCCTAGGCACAATGATACCAGATTCCACAGGAAGATAGGACAGGACCTTGTCCATAAACTAGGTCAAACCTATCTTCATGGCTTCTGTCAGCTCCTGAGATGTGTGTGTGTGTGCATGTGAGAGCATGCGCGTGCCCATGTGCATGCATGCACGCAAACATGCATGTCAGTACTGGGAACTTGAACTAGGTCCTGGGTTCTGTCCCTTACTTTTTTGCTCAATTCTGGTGCTCTACCATTTGAGCCATAGCTGTACTTCTGTCTTTCCAATTGTTAATTGGAGATGAGAGTCCCAGACTTTCCTGACAGGCTGGCTTCAAACCACAATCTTCAGATCTCAGCCTCCGAATAGATAGGATTACAAGCATGAGCCACCAAGGTGGCTCTTTAAGATGTGAGTAAGATCTTAAAGGGACAGGAATAGATTTACTTAGCTCCTAAATGAATAGAAGACAATTGAATCCTCTAAAACGTACCTCATAGAAGCTTCTTCCGAACCCATGCCCCTAAAGCCAGGGTATGGGTTGAGTGTGAATACATGTAGAAAGAAAGGGTTAAAGGCCCATTTCCAAAGTGACTGTCATCCTTTTGTGTAACGGAGGCTTCATCTAAGAGCTTTGGGGTAAAAAGACATCTATTTCTGATTTGAAGCTGCAAGGTCCCTGACATCCTCAAAAGAAAATGTGTTGCCCATGCCCTTTCTAGTGACTAGCAGAGACAAGATGACACCATGGCCAGAAGGCCTCATCTCCTACCAGAGGTGTCAAAACCTTGTGAAGCACGACTGGTTGTATTAGAAGGAATCAAGGCAGAAGCTCTGGTGCACATACTTGATGGGGATCATTTCTCTATTCCTTAGAGTTCTTTTGCTTGAATATTTACTCTGGAAGTTGGCTCTATGTTTTATACAAGATACCTTCTGCTCAGTTTGACCTCTGGGCATCCTTCAACTAACATCATTTTAGGACTTTCCCTGACCACTTGACCTTCATTTCTCAAATAAGTAGGTCTTTGTAATGTGTGGCCTGGTTTCATCTGAGCTGTTTCAGTAACTTGATTTTGCTTATTTCCTTAGGGTTCCTGGAGGAGGAGCTGGGTCATCTCGGAACAATGTACTTGGAGGATCTCCACTGGCCAAAGGGATGACCACTACCATGCAGCCTGGTGGTGGAAGTTTGAGCAGTCCAGCAACCACCACCAGGCCATCCCAGTCCCTTACCACACCTCAGGCTCACGCCCAGCACCTGGCAGCTTCTCCACCAATAGGCAGCTGCCTGCGTCATGCAGCCCAGCCCACAGCCAGCCAGACTCGGAACACCATTCCAGCAGGTATGGATGCAGATTCACCTGGCCAGTAATCAACAAGGGGAGCCGCTGGGACACAAATCATGGGACACATTTTGTATTTTTGGCCCTGCTCTCTAGCAAGCCACAGTAGGGGGGTAGGATTGATGTGATTATCATAATTTCCAGGAATTATACTAGCCTCATCTTGTTGTGATATTCTAATAGCTAAAGTGATGTAGAGTTTATAGACATTTGCACATTTTGTGTGGCAAGAGAACTGCATGGATTAATAAGCTTGAGACAAGTACTTCTGGATGCCTGCTCCACTAAGACAGATGTCGACTGGCCATGAGGCTGTCACTTGCCAGACATGCCTGGGTTTCCCCACTAGGTAGCACTTCATGAGACAGAGTTGGTAAAGATCATAGGTGAGAGGATCCCTTTTCTAAAGAAGCAAAGAAGGAAAGAAAGAGAGAGAGAGAG